CACAGGATGCTCCGTTGGTAGCTGGCAGGCCGATCGGCGAACCGCTCAGCCGATTCGAGCTCTTTCATGAAGTAGTCGCGATCGTCCATTTCGAACGCAGCTGCGTGCCATCCGTCTTCCATCCAGTCGGATCCGGAGACGGAGACTCTGGCAGCCGCGAACCGCGTCCCCTTCTTTTGTCGCTCGACCTTATAGTCTGCCAAACCACCCCATAGAGAGCCCCGTCCTTCAGGGCGAGCGCCTCGGGCACGACGTGGAGCGCGTCGTCGAACCTGAGGGACGAGTAGATCATCACGAGAACCCACCATGCGAAGAACGCCATGGGGAATTGGCTCGACTTAAAACGAGCGCACACGAACCGCTCGAGCGCCGCCACCAAGATCAAAGGGATGGGAACCGCTTCCCTCGTCTCTTTCCCGCGATCGCCATAGACCTTCTTCTGCAAGGGATCGAGGAGGTCGGGCAACGTCAAGCCGATCCGCTTGCAGATCCGTTTGACCGCCCCACGTACCGAAGGTATCACGGTGGGGCCGCAACCTCGGTCGGAGAGATCTAAGAGGTACTTGACGAGCACGTCGGTAGTCAGCGGGATCACCGCTAGGTTCTGCGACCTCGCCCAAGTCTCAATCCTCTCCCAGTGACGAACGCACTGCTGGATAGTGCGGAAACCGCCACTCTCGAAGACGATCAACCTCAATGCATTCATCTCATCTTGGGACAGGGGTGATCCCGGCTTCGGGTTGCCCGCGATCGCGGCGTGCTCGCCGCACCTCTCCACGATCGCTTTCAGCCTCATGCCCCACTTTCGGGCCTCGCCGAGCTCACGGGTTTTGAGCGATGCCTGCGGATCTTCAGGCCTCGGCTCGATCGCCCGCGGCCTCTTGGCGAGCGGCAATGGCATAGGAGGCTCCTTGCCAGTCCCCTTCGACTTCAGTGGCGATCGCCCGAAGACGACCGGAGCTTCAGCCAAGCCGAATCCCAGATCAGTGGCCAGATCAGCCCAGCCCGCTGCTGCCGTGCTACGAACCAGCACAAACAACAGCTCGATCGACGGAACCCACCTGCCGAGCTCCTCCTCGTTCTTCCGCCGATCTGGCGTGTGGAGTTCCTCGAGGGCAGGGACAAGATCAATGAATGCTTGCACACACTCAGCGATCGTCCCGTCCGAAACAGCCGTGAGCTTCTCGAACTGAGCCATCCGAAGATCCACCAACCATTGGCAAAATTCATCCCCGAACAGGGGGAGGGATAGGATCTTCCGAACGGACCTATCCATGCTGGGCCTGAACAGCTGCACGAACGATCGCACGTGCCTGCTAATGGTAACCGAGCGCCGTGCCTGAGACAGGTATTGATCAATCTCACTTCCGGCAGAACATGCGCTGGGATCTAGCGCGCCGAGAGGATCGCTCGGCATGTTTGTTCCGCGGAAGAGCCCGGCTGATCCGCCAGGAGGCTTCGGTCGCGCGGCGCACCACTCTCTTAGGAGCGTGCACAAAAACCGACCATCACCTAGGCTTCGATCGACAACTAGTCTGTATTGTCCATCGTGTAGGGCCCCGTTGACGATCTGGCTGGCGGGTAGGCCGGGGCGAACGCCTTCGGCACCGTGGTCGTAGAGGAGGGGGAAGCCGTGATCTCTTGGCCCGTCTCCTCCACCCTGACCGTGCTGATCCGCTCGTACTCCGCCTGCTCACGGTGCTGGAGCACGTCGGTGAAAACCTGAGGCGTGATCGCAGCCGACGTGCGCGAGAATCGCATGTCGGCCCTCATGCGATCGCGGGCATCGGTGACGACCTCCTCGGCGATCTGCTCCTGGCCGAGCTGGCCCTCCTCCGGCACCGGAACAGTGCTCACCCTCTGGTCGAACACCTGCTGAGCCGAGGTGGGCATGTTGGTGAGCGCCGAAGTGACCGAGGAGCCCAGCTGCTGAACCGCCTGCCGAGCCGCCTCTTCCATGAGAGCCGGGGGGCCGTTCCGAGCTCGAACGGCGTTGTTCTCATCGTGCGACCGGTGGGCGAGCGCCTCCTGCCGGACGAACTCCAGTGGGCAGACCCTGAGCTTAGATCTAGCCCGTACGTGGAAGTTCCCATGATCCATCGGGAACTCGTCTGTCGCAGTTCCCACTTGCACCTGTTCGTGGGCGAACGCACTGTGGTACCAGGGGGCGATCACCGCAGACAGCTGCGCGAACTGCTGGATGTGGTCTGGACCTTCCACGCGAGCACGCTGGGTCCGACAGGCCTGGATCGTGCTGATCAGAGCGGGGCCCGAGATGTGGCTGACTGTGAGCCACGTGCCAGGCACCGAAGTCCTCCCGCACTTGAGATCGATCCGGTTGTTGGCGTCCCGGAACCGAAACTCAACACGATCGGCGTCGTTCCCATAGCCTTCTCGGGACGAGCGTTCCGTCACCCTGAGCTCACAGGTGCTCATGGCATGGTCGCTCGCCATCACTGCTCCTCTCGGGCCGATCGTGTAGACTCGGGCTCCAACCTCGAACGAGGTCACGGAGACCTTCCATCCAACGAAGACCGAGATGACGATCGAGGGTCGGAACCATCCTTCGTTGGCTGACCGGATCAACACCTCGTCGCAGAACTGCTGCTGGACAGAAAGATCCGAGTCCGAGCGGTAGCCCCTGAAGACCCAATGGAATAGGACCTCGTTTCCATTGAAGACCTTCACATCCACATAGGTGGCCGAGGTGTCGAACATCACCGGCCAAGTGAAGGGCTGGAAAGCCGGGTGCGATAGCGCCCGACTCGCGTAGGAGTCCCACTGAGCACATGGTCCCCCTGTTTTCGAAGACATCGAAAAGAGCAGAACGGCCTTGATGCCATCGAGCGTATAGTTCGCGAACAGCGAACAGTGGTAGCCCGAGTTCGGGGGCATGACCGAGTCCCGCTCCGTCAGCACATTGATCGAGCTGGCGGCATTCGAGATGATCTCCTCGGCCAGCCAGTTCTGGAACGGGGAGATCACCCGGTCGTCGCGGTTGTCGATGACGAGGAGCGAGTTCTGGGTCTCGTCCTCTTCCTCGACCACGACCTGGCGAACGAACTCAGGCCGCTGAACGGCGAAGGGGTTGTGGGCAGCAGGAGCCCCGCGGTCACGACGTCCACGACGATCGTCGCGACCCCAGCCTCCAGAGCCCCAATCGCCGGATGCGGCAGCTGGAGCCGCGGGATTCTCGGGAGCCTCTGCCTCGCCTGGAACGTAGTGTCCCCAGTTGCCCGGATTCTCAGGCTGACCAAGCCGGCGAGGCAACCCGAACTGTGGGGCCATCGGAGCCGCCATCTGCCGACCTTGATGAAAGCCAGCGGGAGGGAACGACATGGCTGCGATCGAGCGAGCCTATTCACTTCCACCTCCCACGCCGAATTTTTCGGTATGGCCCGATCGGCTATCGCCAAAATGGCCACGGAGAAAATAGATCAAGTCTGTTCCAACGATCGCGAAACTGATCTCCTAATTCCTACCCACCAGACCGATAATTAGGAGACATACCATAAATAAGCATGTTCATGTATAATTCTTGCCAGACAGGTGGTGCATCGGATCCGGAGCTGGCAGCTGGCCAGACTCAGAATTGAGACACTGCATCGGAAGTTGGATAGATGGGGCGTTTCATCAACCGACTTCTGTGAATCACTTGTCCCAATTATCCACACTGCCTCTCCGTAACATCCGCATTATCAGCGCCTGAGGCCGCTGAGCAATGTGAAGCCCCCCGCATTAAAAAATGAAGACACCCAACCCACGGCATCACATGTTAAAGTTTCTGCTTGATGCGGTCGGATCTCTTGTAACTTTTTGGACCACCTCGAGCATCCGGAAGAGGTCATCTTGCAAGAGGCACTTGGGTCCTGAAGTGCCCAATGCCCCCAATTATGGTCGCACGAAGTGGTGTTGTCGGAGACTTCTCCGGAGAAACTTCGCGGCGGCCTGACCGCCCTCGCCGATTTGGCACACAAGGCACGCGACTCGTTGTCGTCAGCTCGAAGAACGTGCCGGATTCTTGGGCGATCAGCTACACACCTTTTCTGCCACCTTGAGGCAAAGACAAGTAGTAGAGATGTATGCACGGTCTCTCGTGATTTATTTTCTGTTTTTGGTGCGATTGTTTTCGGTTCCGCTCCATGAATGCGTCGCCGCCGGCATCTTCGCTGGGGACCTTGCGAGGTCTTGCAGTGTGGCTTGCGACAATGGTCGTGCAGGTCACGTTTTTGTCACGGTCCCGAAAGTGAACCGGAGTGCGATCGGACTGCCCTTCTACACCCTTAAGATCGTGGGTTGCGGGATCCACTAGTCACTGGTGTCCAATGGGTCGGGACGCGCACCGTGACAGAAGCAGGCCCCCGTCATGACCTTTGCTGGGACCGACCGTCTCGGCATCTTCGGCCATTTCGGAGCCTGATTTCATGTGACCTGCTGAAGCAGCGCCAGTTCGTAACTTTTCCGATTGAGTTCGCATTCCCCCTTGCTCTGGATGGCTTTCTCCACAGGAGGGGGGTTTCCAGCACGACGGCGTGCGCTATCTTTCTGTCACCACAGGCTGGGGCAGGCCACCAAGCGTGGGTGCTGTCCTGCCGGAAAAGACGCGATTTGGGATCTCACTTTTGGCGAATGGAGGCGGGAAGCCGTCGAAAGGTGTTCACTGGTTTGCAAGTCGTGTCGTTGCTGTCTGCCCTCCCGTCCCTCCTCGCTCCCCCCAACCCCTAAGTTGTAAGCCTTAGCCGCAGGCCTTAGGCCGCCAGATGGGCCATTTTACGCCTGCTTCTGTCTGTTGCCTGTTGCCTCGAACGGGATGGCAGGCGGCAATAACGATCCGTGCAAGTGCCTGGCGCCACATTTAACCCCTCCCGCTTGCTCACGTCCCAACGGTCGCTCCTTCATACGCTTCTCTGGAAGAACAAAGTTCACCAAGTGTCTGAAGTGAAGCCTGGGTCAAGGGTATCGGTTTGCAGCATGGACTCAGCATGGTCACATTCTTCCCGTCAGTAAGTTGAAGGCTGCTTCATCGAGTGACAAGTTGCGCAAACCTCTTCAAGATTGAGCGTTCTTGTCCGGACTTGGCTGCAAAGCGCTTCAAGCCCACAGAGGCCACCTGTCGATACACCTCATAGCCCCGGCCTGATCACGAACCAGGAGTATGCAACTCACCCCACGTCATGAAATTAGAATTAGAAGACAACAGGATGCGGGGCTTGCGCAATCCCAACGACTTAATGCACTTGACCTGCTCTGCGATTCAAGGTGATATATGATTCGCAGTCTTCACATTTGGGCGCTTGCTCCAACACGCGGCTGTGCTGCAAAGTTGGCTCCACTGGGAGCCCCTGCGAACGCTTGGGATCTCATGGGCATGGAATATTGATTTGATCCAGAATGGGTATCGCCTCGGTGAAAGGAAACCGCACTTGCAACTTCATATCCTCAGAAGTTTCCATTCCAGGAAGACTAAGCTGAGAACGGGGGATGCGGAGGATCCTTGTCGTCACCTGCAAGAGCAATCACAACAGGATGTCACATGCTTGGATATGCTTGGATGATCTTCCACTGGCTCAAGCCGGGCACAACATGACCCGCAAGACTGGCACACTCTTCGCGAGGAAAATGGGCAACAAGACTGCTTGCAACGGGACACAGCAGGCTCCGTCAGTCCAAGCACCGTGCACTGCGCTGGCACAGACCGAGCAACGAAGGCAGCACTGCCCAAAGCTGCGACACCTGTGCTAGGCGATGAAGTAATTCAGCACGATCATGTTGAGTTTCTGCTGGGTGGTGACAGGACAGCTAGCAGCGCCCGGTGAGATCAGACAGACATTTCACTTGCAAAGTTGCAACTGGACGAGGATGACCGAGGCCTCCCAGCGAACGAGCAACTCGTCTGGCAGTGAAGGCCATGACCTTGCACAGAGGGGATGAGCCTCCGCTCACATCTTGCCAAGGTGCACAAGTACGAAGGCCTGCTGGGATAAGTCAGACTGCCGAGATTCGGGTCTCTAGGTTCTCAGCTATCTCAAGAGTTGACAGTGGTTCCCTTGTCACTCTGCTTGGCTGAAATCTACGGCAGCGTGTTGTGAACTGATGCCGCAACAGATTTTTGCATGTAGCAATGTAGCAGCCACAAGCGCGGCAGCTAGCACCCACCACACCGCGTGCTCTCCTGCACCCTTCTCACTGCTTGACTTCGGCATGTCATTGGAAGTTCTCCGAGGCGGCTGCCCCAACGCCGGAATCCCTTTGGCCTTCTCTACCGTCAGCTGCGAGCCAAGAGAAATTTGCAGAACCGCATTGCCGTCACAAGGCAAACTATGCAAATCCCACCAACGGCTCCCCGGCTGTGTGACTTTATGCAGCTTTTTGAAAAGAGAATGTACTGGCAATGGGCCTAAAGACCAAGGCCAGTCTATGAAAAGTCCATTATCCGTGATGTACAGTGTAGCCAAAGATGCTCCGCTGTCCATTTATTGCTCATGGCCATCCAACATCGTTGCAGGCCAAGGCAATGGTCGATCCGCGCTGAATCCGACTCTAAACATGAACGTCTGGAGGCTTGGCCTCACGAGACATGGTGATTATCAAGAGTTGTGTCTATGACTGCGGCGAACTTCACCAAGCACCTTGGACTTGCATCAGGCATCGCATCCTGACATGGCCTGGACTGCTTAACTTTGCTCATCCCGACACTGCATGGCACTGCGAAACATTCTGGACTGGCAGTTGAGGCCACGGCTTGGAGAATTTTTACACAGGTGTCAATGGCAATTCCAGCTCCTGCCGACTTCATCTCTGGAAGGCTGGCCGATTCTTGCCCCAAGCCACGGCGCCTGGGCAAACTCGACTGCCTGCCGCCCCGACGTTTGCGAAGACCATATTCCGCTCCTGCGTTTGCGGAGTCGTAGTCGAACACACTCCGGGTGCTGTAGCTCAGTGCGGTCTGTACGCCTGCAGCCCCGGTCTGCTGGGATTGAACTCAAAGGCATCCACGCCCCAAACTTCCTGCAACGCAGCTTGAAGGGGCTACTGTGTCCATCAAAACGCTCGTCGGACCAAGCATGGCAAACCGAGACAATCAGATCTATCCGCAAAGTCCACCGTTGATTGGTTGTCGCGGGTTTTGCTGGGGTGAAGCGTCTAGAGTCCAGGTATGTCCAAGACTCTGGACCAGCTTCCGAGCTTCGGCGAGCTCGAAGGCTGGATAGGCTGAGACTGTACGACGATAAGAACTTATTAACCGGTATTGCATGAGCATCCAGTTTCTGTTGGGATGGATTTGAAGGACGAGGCATCAGTTTTTACTGAGTCGAGGTTCAGGGATTCTTTATGTGGATGTAGGTCAAGCCGACGCTCAACAACTTCGACCTGACAAATGCTCGGCATTGGCAGTGCTGGACCGGCATGCAGTGCATGCAGATTCCAGCCCTGAGCGACAGCGATAATCGCCGCACGCGCGCGCACGCGCGGGGGTGTGTGTGGGGGTGTGGGTGTGTGTGGGTGTGTGGGGGTGGGTGGGTGTGGGTGCGTGGGTGTGTGGGTGTTTGTGGGGTGGGGGGTGGGTGCGTGGGTGGGTGGGTGGGTGGGTGGGTGGGTGTGTGAGTGTGTGAGTGTGTGTGTGTGTGTGTGAGTGAGTGAGTGAGTGAGTGTGTTAGTGTTAGTGTTAGTGTTAGTGTTAGTGTTAGTGTCAGCGTCAGTGTCAGTGTCAGTGTTAGTGTTAGTGTTAGTGTTAGTGTTAGTGTTAGCGTTAGTGTTAGTGTTAGTGTTAGTGTTAGTGGTAGTGGTTAGTGGTAGTGGTAGTGGTAGTGGCAAAGGCAGTGGTAGTGTTAGTGTTAGTGTTAGTGTTAGTGTTAGTGCAGTGGAGTGTAGTTTAGTGTAGTGTAGTGTAGTGTAGTGCAGTGTGTAGGTGTAGTGTAGTGTAGTGTAGTGTAGTGTAGTGTAGTGTAGTGTAGTGTAGTGTAGTGTGTAGTGTAGTGTGTTGTGTAGTGTGTTGTGTAGTGTAGTGTGTTGCGTAGTGTAGTGTAGTGTAGTGTGTAGTGTGTAGTGTGTAGTGTGTAGTGTGTATAGTGTGTAGTGTGTAGTGTGTAGTGTGTAGTGTGTAGTGTGCGTGGGCGTGAGGGCGTGAGGGCGTGAGGGCGTGAGGGCGTGAGGGCGTGAGGGCGTGAGGGCGTGAGGGCGTGAGGGCGTGGGCGTGAGGGCGTGAGGGCGTGGGCATGAGGGCGTGGGCGTGAGGGCGTGGGCGTGAGGGCGTGGGCGTGGGCGTGGGCGTGGGTGTGGGTGTGGGTGTGGGTGTGTGAGGGTGTGTGTGTGTGCGCGTGAGACGATGCCGACGATGCCAAAAGACAAACAGGCCAATCTTAAATCTCAAGCAACGTCACAATTGCTGCCTGCGGAAAGCAGCCAGCTTAACATGCAGTGTTTTGCCTCAACGCTGCAATACTGTACAATGGCATGCTTCTTGGCTCCTTGTCCGTCATGGCAATGTTCCTTGAACAACGACAGCCAGCAAATTAGCATCCGAAAGAACTTCAGTGAGTTGCCAAAAGATGCTGTTCATCCCCTCGTCAAGCATGTATGCGAGGTGCATTGGAACCAAGATCCGCGTGCCAGCGGGAAAGTCGACTGCGGTACCTTCAAACTGTGCTGCAGCAGAATATGATCAGAATATGGTTAATCCTTTCATTCATGCAACAATGGGTTGCGCAGGCCTTGAAGGGTAATGGAGAATGGTTCCTCGGCACATGACGTCTCCATATCTGCGAGGTAGCCACATACACAACATTTCACAAGCAAGCATGCTTCCAAAGAACCGTGGCCACATGATGGACTGAGCTGACCGGTGGATAAAGGCGGGCAACCTGCAGCGAAAACTGGATTCGACATGGGTTCGTTGGAAACGTGCCATACAGATGACTTCTGCAAGCATGGTTCCTTGGCGCACAATGTGCGCGAACACTAGCCTCAATTCCATGTTTACATTGCGATTGGTGGAAGCTCGCACGAGTCAGCGTCGCTCTTCGGAGACATCTCGCTATCACGCAAGACTGAAACACTTTTGGAGGCGTAGCGGCAGGCGGCGAAGTGCAAACGAAATCGCATTCCAGATCGAAACATCTCAGACATCGATCGGAGCGAATCGTTGCGTATCACCCCACCACTCCAATATGTAAGAATAAATACAGGGTGGTGTGGGCGGGCTGAAAAGCTTGAAAGAACCTCGAGCGGGCAACAGCTGCGGTTGTCTGCTGTTGCCGCTCGTACATGTCACTCCGTGCACACGTGCACTACACGACATCTCGCTATCACGCAAGACTGAAACACTTTTGGAGGCGTAGCGGCAGGCGGCGAAGTGCAAACGAAATCGCATTCCAGATCGAAACATCTCAGACATCGATCGGAGCGAATCGTTGCGTATCACCATAGGTGTGCCGCCTGCACCATCAAAGCACACCGGTAGCCCTAAACCGCTCAGAGCCCGTCAGAAGTTCTTCGAAAAGACTGTCCCAATCTCTCTGTAGTTCGATCCAACCTTCGGCTCGAGCGTGGCGAAGATCACCGCGGCTGACGGAGTCGCTGACGTTGGCTGACGACGTAACACGCTGCCATGCTGGGCGAAAGGAATGTTCTTCCAAGAAGCGCCATGCATGTTGTAGCAAGCAGTTGATCGACTCATCCTTGCCAAAGCCTCGGGTGAGAGCGTGGCGTGCGGGTTCGTTGTCCACGAAGAGAGCTGGTCCTCCATGGCGAACAGAGGCAAGATCTGAGCCACGATCTCTAGCATGTAGATGTATGCCCGTCGACTTGTGAATGCTCGCACGAACCAGTACGGTACCCTGCCGTGAGCGAAGTAGGTCTGTCTCTGAACAGTCACCACGAAGCCCCATCCGTTGCGGAGCGTCTCCGGAGGTGTCCTTCCCCAGTTGGGAATGTCCTCGTCGGATGGTTTCCAGTCCTTGTCGAAGAGGTTGAAGAACGCGTCGGCGTAGAGAACCGAGTGCGCCTCTTTGTCGAAAGGAAAAACCTTAGGCGTTGCGTGCCGCAAGCTCCACCGCAGCAGTCCGATCCCATGGCGAATCTGTCCATCGAGTCTCCAATCGCGATGATGACGACCAGCACCTGTGAGTCGAGCTCTGCGAAACAGGGGCCGAAGAGCTGCAGCGTGCGAGCGACCTTGAAGTGACTGACAGTAAAACTGGAGTTTCCCCGCGAGGCTGGCTGCTTCGTGGGGTCTCAAGCGGTCCTGGGTGAGCACGTCCGCGAGCGCCTCGTCGAGCCTCTGTCGTCGCTCTTCTGTGCCATGCACTGTGACGGACTCGTGGGACACGAGAATGTCGACACCTTGGATGACCTGTCGCGGGGCCGGCGGTTGTTCCTTAGACTGCTTAAAAGAAAAACCCAAGGCTTTGCAGAGTCGTCGCGATGCATCGAAGGAGGAGTTGGCGAGCGTGGTGACCTCTGCGCTGCCGAAATCATCGACAAAGTGTAGCGCGGGCGTGAAAATGCATGCGCGGCATAACCAGCCCATGAGGTCCGCTATTCTACAATAGGACCATACGCTCGCCACCGACCCAAACATTAGGACTGTGTGGCGCCAGAGAGTCACTCCTTCGGGCGTCGCGAGAACCACGTAGGTGTGCGACGGGTGGGAGCTGTCTGTAGGCCGACTCGTGATCAAGGCCCCATATGAGGATCTCGGCCTGCGGGTCGATCTCCTTGATGGCGCGAACCAGCTGCACGTAGGAGTTGACGTCGTGGTACGGCGGGGAGTCCTCCGCTGCGACCGTGACGTTAGCGAAGGAGCGTCTCCAGTCCTCGGCGCGGCGTACTTTGGGGCGGCCATCGGACCCGACCTGGTGGACTGCGAACGCGAAGCATGTCGGCTGGTGTTCGCGTGGGCCCTCGAGCAGCTTGCTTGTGTGCTCGTGCGATGCGAGCGGCACTGCGCTTTTGGGCCAGTCCGGAGGGCTGGTGAACGGACCTTCCATGCGCCCGAGTGACACATCGGCGGCTATCTCGTCTGCCATCTGTTTCCAGCAGGGGTCGACGCGGCATCGACGAAAATTGTCGACGACGTACTGTTTGTTCTTAACCATGAACTCCGCGAGGTCCAGAGGGTTGGCGTAGCGGTCGTCATTGCGTCGTTTCCAGCCAAGTCCCGGAGCTAGAGGTCCTAGAAGACGAAAACCCTGTGTGAGCTCGTCGAAAATGTCAAGGTCCTGCCAGCCAAACAGTTCACAGATCCTGCGAAGCGCGGGCAGCTGTAAAGTGCACACTCCCGTAGTGCTCCGGTAGGCCTTCTGTACGTGAGGGCGGAGGCTCTGGTACCAGGACTTGGTCTCGTCTTCCATTTCCACAACCATCTCTTCGACCTGTTCCACGACTGCGAGGCGTAGTTCTGCCAAATGGGCGCGCATCTGGACCCAGATGCGAATCCACTGTTGCAAACCAGGCTCCATGAATGCGTCGCGGTGGTCCGGATGGGGCATGTGTCGTGACAACTTCCAGTGCTCCGCGGGGTCCTGCAGGTAGGAGAGGTCAAAAGAGTCGTAGTCGCCAGGTCCCGGGCCTAGGAGTGGCGGGCGACCTTGCCACAAGCCAGCTGCTATGTCGAGCGCGGTTCCCCCTAGCGGGTTGAGCTCCTTGTCCGCCATTGCGGGCGTCGCGGCAAACATGGCCATGATGAAGATCAGGCGTGCGGCTCCAGCGTGCCAGCCATTGGCTAGCGCTTTGTGGCGCTCGTGCTCGGAGAGCTTGCTGGTCCAGCCTGGTGGCAAGTGATGCCATTGCTCCTTCACCGATGGTGGAGGAATCACGAAGCGGCCTTGACTGTCCGCCATCATGACACCTGCTTCGTAATGCCAAGGAGCGAATCGTTGTCGATCGGCACGCCATCGTTGATTCGCTTCGCTGCTGATCTTGCCCTTACTGCTGCGTGGAGAGCTTGCTGGTCCAGCCTGGTGGCAAGTGATGCCATTGCTCCTTCACCGATGGTGGAGGAATCACGAAGCGGCCTTGACTGTCCGCCATCATGACACCTGCTTCGTAATGCCAAGGAGCGAATCGTTGTCGATCGGCACGCCATCGTTGATTCGCTTCGCTGCTGATTTTGCCCTTACTGCTGCGTGGAGCGGGGCGTCCTTGTGGGTCGTCTAAAAATGTTGTGAGACACGGGAGCGGCTTGCCCTCCTCGACCAGGCACCTCGGCAAAGAAAGTCCTTCGGTCTTAAAAGCGTGCGGGTCGTCCTTGACAAGGTCGAAATGCACTCGTGGGATGCCTTGCATAGTCGACCACCGGATGCGAAGAGGACAATCGGATCGATGGGCGATTTCCTGCCATGGCACCCTGCACCACCAGACTCTTGGTCGGGATATGGCGCCGAAGTCTGCGGCGTCATGGACCACGGCGGGCGAGTCGAGGGACTTCTCGATCTTGCGCATATCTGCTCTGTTCTGTGGGATGACGTTCTCCACCATGACGACGGCGCGAGGTCGTTGCCATCTCTTTTCCAAGTCCACCACTAGCTGGGCGAAGCGAGCGAACTTGGATCCCTCCGTACCTTGGTGACCAGGTGCGTCTGAGCGAATGCGTGAAAAGTCATGACATGGAGGACCTCCTGCTATGACCACAGTCGCTCGTCCCGTCGGGTCGAGCTCCTGGACCAAGTTGTGCAAAGACTCGGGCGTCTCCTGGTCGAAGTCGCCACGTTGCACCACGTCGGGGAAGTGGTCGTGTAACAACTTCTTCAAGTTAGGGTCGATCTCCCACGATGCGCCACGCCACTGGAGACCATTGCTGCTGCAGTGCTCGTCGCAAATCAAACAAGCGGTGCCGAGGCCATCAAAGAAACTGAGCAGGACGATGTCGGGCGGGCGATCGCCGTTCTTGATGCGGATGGTCTCGGCCTTGCTGCGGAGCGTCACCGGTTGAGGTAGCTCCTTCTTGTCGTCGTCGGGGGATCTTCGGGAGCGGGGCAATGGCGACCTCGAGCGAGCGAAAACTTGGCTGTCTTCGCTTTGCGGTGGGCCGGGTCCACCCCTATGGGATGGCCCGTGCTGTCCCTATTCTTGCTGCTGCCATTGCCTGCGGCTGTCGTGCTGCTGTCGCCAATCGGTCTGGCGCCATTGCGATCTGTCGTCGTCGTGCTGGCGACCTTTGCCGTGACCTTGCCAGTGTGGGCGATCTTCCTCGTGTTGGCGACCGCGGCCTTGGTAGTGGTTCCACTGGCGATCGTATTGAGGTTGGTAGCGATGCTTTCCGCCACCCTTGCCATTCCCTTTGCCTTCCGAGCGCTCCCACCACCGCTGCTGGCCTTTGCCGTTTCGACCCTTGCCTCGGCCTCTGCCTCCACGAGGATGTCGGTGTTTTTTGGGGCGCGTGCGGGGCGATCTGGCTGAGCTTCTGTGCTCATTGCTTCTTGGAGGAGCTGGCTGTCGGCCATGATCTCGTGCGCGATGTCCCTGAAAGGCTGCTTCTTGCGCAGCGCGAGAGCGATGCGCCACGATGTATTCTCCCAGTGGATCTTGAGCTGGTCGATCTTGTTGGGGCGGCTGCGCACCAACCGCTGCCACCATGAAAAGTACTCGTCGATGTCGCTCTCCGGGGCGTACTCGATGAAGATCAGGGCGACGCGAACGGCCTCGAGGCAGTCGAGAATGGCGACCTGGCTCTTCGGCTTCCAAGGCGTCTCGGGTTCGGCCTCGAGCTGAAGGTCGGCGTTCACGACCAAAGTGGTGACCTGTTCCTGTGACCGGGCCCTTTTGCGGGCTGAGCTCAGGTTGTTGGGGAGGAGCGCCGCAGTGAAGTGCCTGTGCTGTACGATCTCCTCCAAGGGGATCGCGTTGCGGGCGAAGTTCTTGGCGTCGTTGAGGAGCTTCGCGATGACGGCCTCGGCTCCTAAGAGAGTCATCTCGGGGAACTTGCGAGGAACTCCATGTATGAGCACGGCTTCATACTTGTGTATCTGCTGCTGCCAATACCCGGGCGGTAGCTCCTTTGTCTTGGAAGTCGCGGTGACTGCGGCTGCGGTCGTGGTCGGGGAGCTGCTCGCCGTGTTTGGTGCTGACTTCTCGCGAGCCTTTCGCCAGGCGTGGCGCAGTCTTGCGCGTGCCACTGGCAGCTCGGCGTCGCTCACTTCAAACACCTTGCCGTCCTGGAGCTTGAATGGCGAGGCGAGCGGCTGTACCATAGCTTGATCAAACTCCTTCACGTCCTCGCCCATCTCGGCGAAGATCGCGGTGGAGAGGATGCCTTTGGTCGCGACGTAGGCGATCAGGTCATCTGACGCTCCAGCGTCCAGGAGAAGTGCTCGCAGGCCGGTATCCATGACAACCTGTGCGCGAGAGCTGGGGCTATGCTTAAAAGAAAAACTGCAGCGGGGCGTTGCGATAAGTGTAGTCGGTGCCGTGGCTCGTCTCTCTCAAAGCTCTCGTTCTCTTTTCTCGGGCGGGGCGCAGCGAGGCTGCGGGTTCGATCGCTCAGCTAGAAGAGGAGTCGTAGCTGTCAGTGGACTCCGTGTCGGACGGCTGCTGCCCAGCCGCCTTCTTGCGACTTTCTGCCCCTACCTCGGGGAAGCACTTGAGGCACAGGTTCTGAGAACCATCGTCATGTGCCCGGGTGAAGTTGGAGTAGCCGTACGGCCAGCCGCAGCGAGCACGCCATTTCGCTGGCGGTCGTGAGGACTCCTCGGGGTCCCTCATGTGTGCCTTGCGCTTGCACACCAAATCAGGCCGCTCTTGAATGGATTCGAGGCGTGCGGCGATGCTGTCCAAAGAGCCGATCATCGCGGCAACTGCCTCCTTGTCTTCATGCGACGCCTGTGAGGATCGTGCCTTCTTAGCTGGTCGGCTCGAGGGCGCGAGTTCGGGCTCCTCGACATTGTGCACCAAGGTCCACGGGGGCGAGTCGTGCTCCTTGTCCTTGAGGGCGGCGGGGGTGTGCGGAGATGCGGGTACTGGGAAGAACCGTGGCTTTGTAAGTGTTTATATAGATTGCAAGCATGTTGTTAAATAGCTTGCAACCCGGTTGTATCTATATTGCAAATCACTTATAAGTGTGATAAACAAATACAACTGTTAAGAGACTTAGCTAAGTGTTTACATAAGTGGTGTAAGTATGTTAAACATTTACAAAGGTTAGGGGGTTTAGCTAAAGTTTAGCTAAGTTAACATAACTTTTTGAAGTACAGTTCTTATATAGGGAAATGACTATGTTAGGCACGTAAATGACTTGTGTTTCAAGGGTGTTTCGTGTATACAGGGGGGGGGGGCAGGGCGGACAAGAAATGCATATCCTGTTGCCATGCAGCCGTTTTTTTCAAGAGAACTTGGAAAAGATGAAGCCTGCCTGGGCTACGGCCGTGGAGCAGGCATTGAAGAAAGATGCTCCGGCATTGGAGAGATGGACGGAGATCGAAACTATCCTGCAGGAGAACAGGAAGTGCTACAGGCAGGTGCTGCGGCCGGGTCAAGTCCTGGTGCACCCGTCGAATCGCTCAGGGTTAGGATTGAATGGAGCCCAAGTTCACAAGACAGGGGCCCAAGTGCAATCTGTAGGCTTCAGCTCCATGGAGCTGAAGCGAAGTGTTTGCATGGAAATATCCACGGATAGAGCTCTGAGCCAAAAGGCCTTTAGTTTCAACAAGCGGCAAGTGGATATGAATGGAGGGCTGCTAGCTGAGGTGCGAGGCGATGAGCGATACATGTCGTTAGCATGCAGTCACTTTACGGCATTTTGCCGTGCCTGCATTGCAGCATGTCCCTCGGACCAAGAGACGGTTTCGGACAATGGCAAGCTCACGTTGCAGCGATTGTCTACCGACTTTCGGCAGGCCGTGGATAATGGATGGGAGTGGCTGGTGCTGTCAGCGGAAGTTGATGCAGTACTGCCCTCGCTGGCCTCCTTCGTTCAGGAAGTCATGAATGCAGCCCAAGGAGTTGCAAGAACGGCAGGCGAGCTGGAGCTCGCCATGGCGATGGTGACCCGAGCAAAGTTGCTGGCAGAGCAAGGTTTGTGCATCGACTGGGATGTTGTGCAAGCTGATGTAGCAGCCACGGTGCCGGATGCCTCGCCACAGACCGTGGCCGCTTGCGGGTTGTTCTGCAGATTCTATGCAGGAGGAACCGAAGCACCTCTGCTGAAGTTTTTGCACGACTTTTCCTTGAAATATGGGGCAAGCAAAAGATTGGGAGAGGAATTCATGTCCACGGTCGCCGGCCTCCGGTTTGCAGGGCAGGAGCGATCGCATGCTTTCGCAAGGGCTGCGATGATCGCGACGAACCTGACAGCCACAAAAGTGGTAGACGGTGTGGCTCGGCTGCTGAGCAAGAGCGATGTCAGCAGGCTCTGTGCGAAAGGCATGGAAGATGCTGTAAAGGATTGGGAGGAGCTTCTTGCTCGTGCCTGGGCTCACACTCAGAATGTGACGGATGCAAGTGCACGTGCCAAGGCAGTTGAGTGCTTCGGTCGCCTGATGGTTCGCAGCACCCTCTTCATGTGCAAGAAAGAGAAGTCGGGGCAAGAAGGCCTTGAGCACGGGTCATTGGCCAATTTGCTGACTTTGTACGAACACGAGATGGGTGGCAAGAGTGCCGGTGCAACACCGGCTGCTGCTACAAAAGATGGGCCGTCTGATGCGGCCCCTGCGACCTTGGAGAACATGCAGGACCCGGCCTTCCTGATGAAGCTGCAAGGCTTCGCAGAGGGGAACCTGTACAAAGGCAAGCAGAAGTATCAGGACATCTGGCCTTGGAAGCTGGAGAAAATCGGCCAGAGCCACGGCTCTTTCTCGCTGTCTTGCCCAGTGAGCTGGGACAAGAAGGTCGAGGTGCCTCTGAGCGAGCTCAAGAAATTTTTCGATCTGTATAGCGGAGATGCACCCGAAGTGGTGTCTGACTCTGTGGACCGACTGCCCCATAATACGGAGGCTTGCAGCCAAGAGAGACTCCGAGGAGAGTTCTTCGAGCTCTGCTGCGAGTATTTCCTGAAGTACTCGCACTGTGAAGAGGAGTTGACCTTTTTGAAGAATCCCACGTGCTGTCTGTTGGAGGGCAAAGCCAAGACAGGCAAGCTGACGATCTTCCCCTTCACGGATCAGATTTCAAAGATTGGCTTAAAGCCGGCAGCTGGCAGTGTGGAGGTTTGGCATTCGGCCTCGGGCACAAGCTTGTATATTTCACCCCCGGCTGCAGCCGGAAGTTTGCTATCTGCCTTCTGGCAGATCCCGGTCGGCTCAGAGCCGAATCTGGCGACAGTCCTTCTGAACGAGAAGGGCTGGAAGATTCCCATTTTGAAGAACACTGCTTCGCTGAAGGAGTGCATCCTGTACAGGCCGAAGCCTGCCGAAAGTTTGAGGGCCTCGGCCCAAGAGCTGGATCAAGGATCCGCTGCCTCGCGAAAGCGAAAGGCTTCTTGAGTTACTCGACAGTTCTCGCTTGCTGAGTTTTCCGGGAAAAGGAGCCAAGGTTGATGTCTGCAATGGAACTTTTTGGCGCTTTTGCAAGTGTGAATTCAAGGATGGTTTGCAGGCACGTGTTGTTGATCTTTCCATAAAGTTCGGCTCAAGGCTAATATAGGTACAATGCCGCTGGTAATCGAAAGAGTATATGTCCTGAAGCTGGATGGTGCCAGCTGGACTGTGGGTGACAAGGAGCTAGAACCAACGGACCATGGTCCGTTTGTGGTACTTCGTCCATGGAGCCCGGGCTTGTGCAAGCTGCTTTCTAAGCAGCATAGCATAAAACTGCCAAAATACCCGGCAAAGTCATCGTTGTCCCAGAGCGATGTTTATCTATCGCTCGTGGGCTCCCGAAACGATGCCTCCAAGGAGCAGCAGTCCAAGCGGCAGGCAGAGAAACTGAAAGAACAGAGCTCTGGCCTTTTCGGCGGGGAAGACAGCGAGGCTGCTCTAGTGTCTGTAACAGGCAGCTCTCCGAGAAAAGCAGCGAAGACTCGCTTGTCCCGCCGTGCTTCCAGGGAAGCAAGAGCAGAAAAGAATGTGCTGAAGGTTACCTGGATGGGAAAGGAGATCCGTGTCCTGGAGGCGGGCCATGTCACGGATGTGCCCAAAGTCCACTTGGATGATATGGCATTGTTCTTTGAAGCAACACAAAATGCCGTGCTTACTGCTGAGTCTTTTCAGACTAGAGCACGGCAAAGCTTTCCTAAGGGAACTGCTGCGAAGGACAAAGTCGTGAAAATCGGCCAAGGCCGCCAGGCTCAACGGACAGGCGACGACAGAAGGTATTCGCTTGTCAAAAAAGCCGGGGCCAAGGCCCGGCCCTTGGATCCCCTGCCGCTGCAGGAGGCTGAGGCGACTGCGGCTGCCAAAAGGGCAGCAAAAAGCCAGGGGCAGTCCTCCAAACGGAGGAAGCCTGGGGTGCTAGTGAACTGAAGGTTCGTTTGCTTCAGGAAAACCATGCAAAGCCTTGTTGTCTCATGTGCATGCAGTTGTTTGACTTGTAGCCTCGCATGTGCAGGTTGTGAAGTTTGTGCCGGTGTTTGCAGCTGTTTGGGCTCCTGTAGGGAGCCCTTGGATGGGGGCTGGCCTTTTTTACGAGGCCAGGCAAGGGATCCTTTTAAGTTTCTTTCAAACGAAACATATATACAGATATAGATATGTAACTATATAGACTATAGGCAGCCCGGGAGACTGCGGTTTCCTGGACAAAGCCGGGAGACTACGGTCTCCTTATAATTGTGGTGGACCACGGTTTGCCATCTGTCTGTGAGAGGAGACCACGGTCTCCTGCAGAGCTGGCTAGCAGACTACGGTTTGCTAAGTCAGTGATGCATGCATGGGTTGCTTTTCGGCAACCGTGCTGGCCGGCAGAATGCAGGCAGACCAAGGTTTGTTTGCATCTGCTGGCAAGCATGCAAAGCAAGCAGACCACGGTTTGCTTTGCTTTGGGAGAGGAGACCACGGTTTCCTCGTGGGTGCATGCCACGGCATGCACCAAATACTATATGTATATATATATATATACATGTGCTAAAAAGAGTCTGGCTTAAGGGATCTTCCCTAAACCCTATACCCTCCCCGATCCTCTATAAACCCTTTTTTTGTCCTGGCCAGGCGAAGTCGTCGGCCATGCCCAAGCACCGCGACCAGGATAGAAGGAGGAGGAGCTCGAGCTCAGAGGATAGAGAAGAACGACGAGATCCTCGACCACGGTCGAGATCTCACGAAGAGTCCGAGGACCAAAAGAAAAAGGAGGAGGATGGCAACAAAAAGCCAGAGGAGAACGAGAACAAGAAAGAGGAGGAGGAGAACTTTGAGGAGGAAACTGTGGCCTCCGAGGAGGCAACTGAGTCCGAGGACGAAGAAAAGGATCCGGAGGAGGAGCCGGAGGAGGCTACGGCCTCGAAGCCAAAGGAGGCGGCCTCGGAGGCTGCGGCCTCGAAGCCCAGAGTCCCTTCTCTGGATGAGAAGACTGTTGAATGGCCGATAAGTGCCGCCGGCAGGCAGAGGCTGGAGAGAAAGCTTGCAACAGCCAGGGTCGCGGCATCCCAGGCAGCTCTCCAGTCCTGGGCAGAAGAAGAGCAGGCCAGAAAGGAAAAGAAGGATAAAAAAAAGGGAAAGAAGGATAAAAAAGAGAAGAAGAAGAAGGAAAAGAAAAGCGAACGAGAGAGATCAGAGAAAAAGGACAAGGAGGTGGATGAAAAATTGAAGGGGGCAAATGAGAAGGCAGCAGATGAGAAGAAGGACAACAAGCCTTCGGACGGGCCCAAGGGCCCGTCCAAAAAGTGCGCCATTTGCTGGAGGTGGATACAGGAGCATGCGGCCGCCCGTCGCCAGCACCGATTGTCGGTGTATCACCGAACTTGGAAATACATAGCCCAAGGGCTCAGCAAGGAGGCTGCTGCAGGCCGGGCAAAGCGCCGGTTCCAGGAGCACTGGCAGCCCTCCCGGGAAGAGGAGAGCGAAGAGGAATCCGAAGTCCCAAGGTGGGAGGTGCGGCGGGACCGGTGAAGCTTTTGCCTGCAGCTACGGCTGGCAAGACCGGCCAGGACAAGAAGAAGGGCAGCAAGGCTAAGGGCAGCAAGGCTAAGGCCAAACGTAAGCGACAGGAGTCGCCGGTACGGGACGATGATCACGTCCCAATGCCGGACAAGAAGGACCCGGACGATCCGGAAGGAGGGTCTGGGAGCTCCTACGGGAAAGTGATCACGAGCCTTTTCCAAATCGCCTGCCAGGAGCTTCGGCAGCGGTACTAGCTCGGCAGCCGCCTGCCGTCTTCCGAAAAACCAGAGTGCCGGCTGCCGTCTGGTGAAAAAAAGAGTGTTTCCGCGCTTTTTTCTCTTCTAGGGTTTAGGGTTTAGGGGTTTTTTTTTTAAGAATAAATTTCGGTTATCCTTAAGATTGGAACCTTATTCAAACGTAGAAAATATGATATAGTTTTTTCTATATCATATGTATTGAAAGTAAACCATATGATATAGCATATTCTATATCATATGATGGCATCGCTTGCCATATGATATAGTTTCTACTATATCATATAAGTCTGTGGGGCCAGATATCATATGATATAGTTTTTTCTATATCATATGTAATATTTTGGCCTCATATGATATAGTTTCTACTATATCATATGATTGACTTTGTTTTCATATGATATAGTTTTTTCTATATCATATTTTGAGGGTTTTGTGGGCCTGCCGAAATGTGTTGTCTGAGCAGCGGAAAGCAGGGCCCAAGCAGCCGTGCAGCATGCATACAGATGCCCAGAGTCGAGCACAGACAAGGTTTGGTGCAGTTGTGTTCGCAGACAGGCACCCCTTCCTGGGGCCATTTGTTGTGTCACCCGTCCTGTAGCTTGGATTGTTGTTGCCATGGAGACCCAGCATCCAAGGATGCGAGAAGCCTCCACGGAGGCGTGTGGAAGCCTCCACGGAGGCGTGTGGGAGCCTCCACGGAGGCGTGTGGAAGCCTCCACGGAGGCGTGTATGTGGCTGCTTGCTGCTGCAGGCACAGGGAGAAGAAGGAACTCTCCACGGAGATGTTCCGGCATTTGCTGTTGGTGCGGTGCCGTGGTGATATAGGGCCATGGCCTCCAGCAGCACCGATGCTTTTGCTGAAAGACCAGCGAAGCTTCAGAAGGTGAATGCTCTGAGAAGGAAATTGCCCCATCTCACAGCCTCGGCTTTGTCCGAAGTTTGCAAAGTTCTGCGGGACGAGGGTGTCCCGGAACTCACACAAAGAAAACATATAGCCGAGGCTGCCTGGCAACCCCTGAAAGAGAATAGGATCCTCAATCGTCTGTCACTTTTGCAGACAGATGGTGCAGAGCTGCAGATACCCAGTGTCGATTTTTGGGCTCTGCTGCAAGCTGCTATCTCGGATGCCGACAGCAACTTCGCCCAATATTTTTGGGCGTGCATCGACAAGAATCCTCCGAGCCCCAGCTCGGCATGGCGGCTGATCCTCTATACGGACGAGATCGTGCCGGGTAATCCTTTGGCAGTCCAGACGAAGAGAAAAATCTGGGCTTGCTATGCCTCGTTCGTAGAACTTGGAAGCTATGCATTGCAGCACGAGGAGTCGTGGCTATGCATAGGACTGCTCCGATCCAGCCTGATGGCCAAGGCCGAAGCAGGTGTCTCTCAATGGATCTCGAAAATCCTGCGAGACATATTCATGCGGCCGGCCAACCATTTGGAGCACGGGTGCATATCGTTGCAGCGACCAGGAGGTCCGCCCGTCCTCTTCCGGGTGGTTTTGTCAATGATCGTTCAAGACGGTGGTGCCCATAAAGCTCTATGGAGCTGCAAGGGGGATGCTGGCACCCGCATGTGCATGCTGTGCAGGAATGTAATAGCACAACGATGTGATATCCTGCACAGCAGCGGGCTCCCCGTGGTCGGTTCCTCTGAGATCCGAGAAAGTAAGCTTTCGCTTGCGACCGACCAATCCATCCACGAGGCCATGGCTAAACTGGCAGAGAAGAAGATGCTTCTGAATGCTGCAGATTTCAGCACGTGGCAGCAAGCCACCGGCTGGACTTATAATAGTTGTTCCCTGCTGCAACAAGAGGATCAACGATGGCTGGTCCGGCCGGTCTCACAGTATTGCCACGACAGCATGCACACCCTGCTGGTCTCCGGTGTCTTCCAGACAGTGACCTGGCTTGTTTTGGAAGCTTTGCAGAAGCAGTTTCCCAATCTCTGGGAAATCGCCGACGAGTACGTGGCCAAGTGGACCCTGCCCCGGAACATCTCGGCCAAGGCCGAAGGGATGCTGGGTCAGTCCCGAGCAAAAGCATGCAAGGAAGCCGAGACCTTTAAATGCACGGCCTCCGAAGGCTTGACACTGTCTCCAATATTGGCTTGTTTCTTCAGGCAGCTCGCCAGGGCAAATGCAAATGTTGAGGCAGTGCAAGCGATCCAATGTTTCTTGCAGCTGGACAAACTCGTGGCATGCTGCCAGAGAGCTCGCAGTGAGGGAGCGGTTTCGCCCGGCCAGATGAGAAAGCACGTTTCCGATTTCTTGCAAGCAGTGCATGCTGCTGAGTGGCAGGACCGCATGCATTCCAAGTTCCATTGGCTTCTCCACTTCGGTTCGCACCTGGAAAAGTGGGGCTTCATGGTTCAGTGCTACACTCACGAAAGAAAGCATCGCACTATCAAGAGATTCGCCGAGGACATCAAGAAGACTTCTGCTTACGAGCAGGGTCTTCTCCGAGAAGTTCTTGGACAAGAACTATATTGCTTGGCAAGAGCTGATTGTTTCGCAGCGATGCTGCAGTTGCAGGACCCGAAGCCAGCTTCTCGGAGGAAGGCGGCAGCACTTCGCAAAATCATTCCGGAGCTGACCTCGGCACAAGTGATTCATGTGGCAGAAAAAGTCAGGCTGCCCTCCGGGGAACGGATATGTCGTGGCGATGCGGTGCTGCTTGAAGGGAACGGTTGCTTGGAGTGTGCCCTTGTCTGGGCATTCGTGGAACTGGCAGGGCAAGCCTACAGTGTTGTGCATTCCATTTCTTCTCTGCTTTGCGATGACCTCGTGGGGGAGTGCTCCTGCATAGACAGCCTGCATCTGCTGCCATGCAGAGACTTTCTGTGTGCATGCACATGGAGAGACATGGCCGGAGGCCGACGACAAATCATCCTGCCTGCTTCCCTCCGATGAAAAAGATTGATCCTGCATGCATCCTGGATTTTGGGAATCTGCACGTACACACACATGCAGGCGACCTGTACCATGCTCTTTTTCCATGTATGTGCATGCAGCTGCCATTTTGGCTCCTGTAGTGGGGTTGTAGCATCTTGGCTCCTATAGAGGGGGCTTCTGGATTCTCCTTTTCTGGCCACGGCTATATATATCTCGCCACGGCGAGATGGCCCGAGAGTTGCAGGCCGAGTTAAGCCCTATGGCCGAGTGGGCACAAAGTGGGAGCAAGGCTTCGGTCGATGCTTTGATGAACAGCTGGTGCACCCGGCTGGAGAGCCTTGGCTCTCTGTCGTTAGGGCAAGCCATGCAGATGAAGCAGACGGTCCAGGATCTGAGCTTCGAGAGCACCCTGTCAGAACGGTTGCTTGAAAAAGTTGAAGCCAAAGTTCTGGCAACGGCCACGGCTGCAACACCGCCGCCAGATACTACATATACGCCTCACAAGCGAAAGGAGGAAAGCAAGCCGCAGACCTTGCTGAAGCCGGAAAACTTCATCACGGTCACTGAGTGGTCTATGCTGGAAAAGTCGCCAGCACCGGCAAGGCTGGAAATCCTTCTGAAAAGGTATCTGCAGCTGGGCCTGAGGAACCTCACAGAACAGACGGTCAAGAAAGGCCTGGCCTTCCTCTTGGCACTGGCAGCCGGCGAGCTCAGTCAGATGCCGACATATGAAGAGATCTACGAAGAGGTCCAGGTCTTCAAGAGATCTTGGGAATCCGTGAAAACGGATGCAGAGCCGACTGAGGTCGGCCTGCTCACGTATCCCGATGACCCCAGCAGCTTGCCGAAGGCTCTGTTCGACCGAGCCTACAAGGCTGAGGACCCGCCCATGGGCAAAGACGTGAGGGCTGGGATCTGGCTAGCTCACATTCCGATGCGATCTACTTCCAAGCTCTTGCAGAAGAACAAGAAGCAGAGGCTGCCGAGGCCAGATGGCCAGGCCGCCGTGTCTGAGCAGCATGCGAACGAGTTCCAGAGCCGCATGGAGCAGTGCTTCGGGCGACTGGAAAGAATGCTGGACCAGGGCTGCGGTCAGAATGCCATCCAGGATGGTGGGCGAAGGGAGCTGCAGCTTGCTGCAGGCGCAAGTATCTTGCAAAGGAGGACTGCATGCTTCTTTTATCTTTTCCTTTGTTTTGCATCTGTATATACACAGCCCATGCATGCCTTTCCATTTGTATACCTGCTGCAGGACCCCTGGACGGAACTCCATCACAGGAGGCGAGCTGAGCAGCAGCAGTGCCGGGGTCGGCTTTGCTCTGGGCAACCCAGCCCAGCCGGTTTCGGCTGCGACACAGCAGACCTCGCCAGGGCGACAGTCGGCCTTGCAGCTAGCCCTGCCTCCAGCCGAAGAACCCGAAGCAACGGAGTCGCTCCCTGCCGAGAACGATCTCGAGGACGAAGCTTTGTTCAAGAAGCTCAAAGATCGCAAAGCTGGGATTCTGAAGAAGCCGGCCGCTGCAGCTGCAGCGAGTGGCCAAGGAAACTTGGCAAAGAACAAGACAAAAACGAATGGCCAAGGCCAAGATCCAAAGAAGAAGGGCAGCGGCAAAGGCAAAGGAAAGTCCAAGGACAAGAGTGCTTCGAAGAAAGGCCAAGGCAAAGCAAAGGAGCAGCAAGCCCAAGGCTCGCATGGAAAGCGGAAGTTCCAAATTGTCTGGGAGGACGGCTGCATCCAGAAGAACTATGCTTCTCGCATGTACAAGCGAGCCGGAACGTGGGCAAAGCACCAAGGCTTCTCGGAGCAGCAAGTGGTAGAGTGCCAGCGAGAGGCCCACAGAGAGGCCATTCTGCTGTGGAAGAAGAAGAACGGCTGCTAAGCCAGCTGTGCAGGGCTCGAAAGCGATGCAATGCCAACCAACTTTTTGCTTCTGCTCATGTGTGTGTGCACACATGAGCATGTGCATCACCGACTTAATCGGCATGCTGCACAGACCACGATCATTTAATTCCATGCAGTTAATGGCTGCATCCCGACTCAAGATCGCATGAGAGACAGATGCGAGGACAAAAGCCGAAGCTTTTTTTGTATATAATGTATATATACATATATACATGCAGGGCATGCATGACATGGTGCTTTTTCATACAGTATATATATGCGACCTGCTGTCGCCATGTGGCTCAAGTGCTGTGATAGAAAAAGTAGACTGCGAGTGCGTCGCGGCCACGGCCATCCTTATAAGCTCCTGCACACGTGCAGTTTCTGTGGGCCAAGGCCTGTGAAATGGGAGGAGCCTGCAGCCGCCGTTTGAGGGTGGACCCGTGCGCAGGACCATGCACGGAATGCGGTGCCCCCAGCTGCTGCAGAGTGAAAAATGCACACCAGAACCACTGGTGTGCAAAATGCACAATCAAGTGGTACAACGAGAGGGATGTCCGTCGCAGCAACTACAGAAGGGCATGGAGGGAGTACGAATATATGAATATCGTGGAGTCCGGGGACGAGCATGCTCTCCCTACCGTGCCCGAGCAGTCCTCTCCAGAGTATGAAGGAGACCACCATGGTGAAGAAGAGGAGCATGCAGAGGAGGAGCATGCAGAGGAAGATGAGTCTGAAAACTCCGGCTAAAGCCTGAAAGCGAGCTTTCTTCCAGGACTATATGGCCATGGCCAGCATGCAGAAAAAAAGATGAATATAAGGCCACGGCCTGGCAACAGCATCAGGGCTGAATGTTCTTCAAAAGGCTGCGGCTTTCAATGACAAAGACTCTTCCACGGCTTGCAGCAGCGAAAAAAAAAAGCTCTTGCGACCAGGGTTTCCAGGGTATGGGTTCAGGGCTTTAGGGTTATAGGGTTCATACCGACCCCTTTAATAGCTCCTCGAAAACCCCTTCTTCTAAGCCATGCTAACCCCTTTAGCTAAACCAACTTAACCCTTTACATTTGTTTGTAAATAGATAGCTAACCTCGTAAAGTATGTTAACCATTTACAAGCCACCGGTTCTTCCCAGTAGGTTCTGCGATCTGATGCCGTAGAAAGCGTCCTCCAATTCGGTGTCCTGGACGTAGCGTTCGATCGCGCGACTCCCCCACCGTCCAAGCAACATGATCGTGCTGACCGGAATTCTCATTCGGCACAAATGTTGAGCGCCCGATACTCGAAGACAATGTCCTCCGAAGCGGTTCACCTCGGGCTCGAGGGGAGCGCCAGCTCTGGTAAGCGGCACGTCGGCTGCTGCGAGGACCGAGTGGATGGCCTCGATCATTTGTGTCTTCGTCATGGGCTCGCCTGTGTCGGCCGCGAAGATGAAGGCTTCGGGGTCGGACGCGCATGCATCGGCGATGCGGAGCGCCGCGTGGTACGGGCAGATGGTCTCCGGGATGGTGCCGCAGTAGCAGGAGTGTCTTCGCTGTACCATGGATCCGACCGTGTCGGTCTTGCTGGCGGAGAGGGTCAGGCACACCTGCTTGCGCTCGGGGTCCACTGTCATGTGCTTGACGCGAAGCGCGGAGAGCTCGATCTCGCGGCAGAGAAACCACGACCCCAGCACGACCATGGCATGGTGAAAACGCAGCCCCTCCTCGAGCAGGTCTATGCTGACGTCGAGGTCGTGGAGGCGAAAGGCGTCCTTGGGGGCGGTGGTGCCCATACCTCGCTCAATGGATCTGATCGCGTCACGGATCGCCAGCTCCACTGGTGTAGGCACCGGCTGGCCCGTGACCTGTATGTGCTCCTTGCGAGCTCTGGAGAAGTACTGTGCCGAACTCCTGTCGCCCCCACTACGAAAGCTGGTGCCGACCTTCTCGATGGTGTCGGTGGTCAGCGGCACCGGGCTTATCTGCCATGCCGCGCAGATCTTGCACCAGGTAACCCAGCGGGCGTCATTGGGGGCTCGTGCCGAGCGAGCGTAGATGTTGTCCCGAAAGTCCTGCAACGCCTCCTCTGCGTTGCGCGGGTCGGCTGCAGCCAAGGCTTTGCTCAGCAGTCCACCAGCTGAGGTCCTCGGCGTGGGCTGGTCGAATCGTGGCGCGGGACCTCGGGGCGGAGCTATCCCTTTGCTCGCCTCCATGTGGTCTTTGTAACCTGACATGACCAACATGACTTCGATCTCGCTGGCGAGGCGGTGATCGACGGTGCTTGCTCGGAGCGCTGCATCGTGTATGCTCACAAATCCCAGCTCGCTCATCTTGTCGATGGTGTGGGGCGACAAACCCGCCGAAACCGCAGCTTGCATGAAATCCACGAAAGAGTGGTAGTCGAAAGCAGACATGGCGTGGCGTGCGCGCGCTAGCTGGGACTTACAAAACTCGAGACAACCTGAGCCTGGATGTGAGCGGCTGCGTGCCGCGGGCGATCTGCTCCGAGTACATGTACTGCTGGTACCTGACAGGTGCAAGTTGCGGGGCGTCGGGGCGAGGGAAGAAACATGCACTCGGAACGACGAGGCGGAGCGAAGCGAAGCGAACTCGACCCCCGAAGTGAGCAAGGGGGGGGGGGGGGGCACCACCACCCGAAGCGGCCAGCGGTCGAGCGGCGAGGCGAGCGAGACACGAAGTGAACATGCAAGTGTGACAGCATGTGCAACAAGAAAACGGCAAGTGCACAACAGCGCAAGCACTGGCAGACACTCGAGGGAGAGAGCCAGAGCGAGAAGAGACCTAACGCGTCAGAGGAGGCACTCCTGGCAGATGGCTTCCGCGAGAAAGAGAGTCAGAGAAGAAAAGACCTAATGCGCGAGGAGAGAAGCAGCACTCGCTCACTCCTGAGGTTAAGGAGGGGAGAGGGCTCGTCGCAAACACTCGGTCTCTCCTTTTTGGCGGCGCGGGCGGCGCAAAATACGAGGCTAGGCGGTGATCGATACACGACCTCCGTCCACCGTGTGGAAAACTTGGCGACCCATGCGTCAGCGCCTCCCTGCTGTACGTGCGCGATCGCATGGGCCACAAAAGTGGTGGCCATGTCCCGTCCCCGATCGCGTGCGGATGACTGGGCGATAGCACCTTCCTTGGCACACTGGCGAGCGATCGGCCTTGCGCGTCTCGCAGCCTAAGTTACAATAGCCTTCCACTCGGTGGTCGGCGTACTTCCCCGGCGGAGGCTGTGCATTCACGCCTGTGGGCAACTGCCACACGACAGAAGTCTCTCCTGCGAGAAGGTCGCATGGCTCCGGCCACGCATCCCAAGCCCGAAGCTGTTCTTCACGTTCACGACGGCGGGCGATGCGGGCGGCGTCGCGGGAGACATCTGCCGGCGAAGGGAACGAGCTCGGAGCGATCGGCGGGTCGGGAACCGGCGCCGGCTCGCTCGGCCTGGCGGTTGTCTCTGCGGCGTCTGGCCCCACATCACTGGAGCTGGCAGCGGTTGCGCTGGTGGAGCCCTGTGCTGGCTCTTGCCCTGCGGGCGACACGCAGAGGACCCGCCTCTCTATCACGCGGGGCCCCGGGCGCGTCGTCTCCGTCGTCCTGGCCACCTTGGTCGCCCTCGTCCTCCTCGTCCTCATGCGTGGCGTCCTCGTCCTCGGAGGTAGGTACGGGCTGCGAGGCAGCCGCTTGTACGAAGTCCTCCAGGTCGGGCACCAGCGCGTCGAAGAACAGGTCAGCTGGAGGCGAGCGTGGCGGTGGCAACGGTGGGGCGGACTCGACTGCCGGGGTCGGGTGCGCTGCCATGAGCTCGAGGTCCTGTGGCACTGTGTCCACGTAGGGTTCGGTGAAGACCGCGGCCAGGGTCGTGTCGTAGGTGCTTGGTCGTGTGGGCGGCCGCTTCTGCAACGCCTTGGCCACCGGGTCTGTGCTCGCGGCTTTGGCCGGCGACGCGGGCGGAGCGGGGTCCTTGCTCGGAGCCTTTGCACTGGCCGGCGAGGCGGGCGCATCACGACTTGCCGCTTTCTTCGTCGTAGTGCTCGGTGTTGTGGTAGTCGACGTACCCTTGGTAGGCGTCGGAGCTTTGACCCGTGGCTGCTCCATCCCTGTCGCCGGCGGAGGTGAGGACGGCGATGCGGTCGGCGGCGGGCTGGTACTCGAAGGCTTAGCCGGCATAGCCTTGACGAGCGGCGCGCCTTTTCCCGAGCCAGCTTTGCCCTGGCTCTTCAGCAAAGGCCCCGGCATGGTTGCAGGCGAAGCGCCTTTGGCCAACAGCGACTGCTCCGCCAGTTGCAGCGTCGCATCCCGCGCTGCTATTCGCGCTGCATAGTGAGCGTCGGTTCCCATGAGAACCTCATGGCCGATGCCAAGCACTCTGCGGATCTGAACCGATCCCAGCGAGCGAAGCAAGACGCGGATGTCGTCGTCTGCGAGGCGAGGCAATGCTTCGAACACGCCCATCGCGTTGCGGAACGCCTCCAACGTCGTCGCTGCGCTGCCGGCAGCTCCAGCTGCATCCGAACTGGTAGCCGGAGAAGTCGAGGACATGGCTTCGCGGGCGAGCGAGCGATGACTAGCTGAAAAGCTTGAAAGAACCTCGAGCGGGCAACAGCTGCGGTTGTCTGCTGTTGCCGCTCGTACATGTCACTCCGTGCACACGTGCACTACACAACAACCCTGCAATGATCATCGATGTGCGAATGTTGGAGAGCTAGTGCCTGTTCCCTGAGGCTGCCAGCAGACACAAGAAGTCTAAGTGCCTGTGCACTGGAGCTGGATCAAGTTTAAAGCACCCGAGAGTGCACTGGATCTTTCCCCATTTCGCATCCCAAGGGCACGAAACTTCGATCGAAACTTGCACCGGAACTGCCTACATTTGCAAAATGATGCAAAGATAAACAAAGCACGGGTTCCTGCTGGACTTGTAGCCATGCCTCTAGCCACAGCATCAGACCGGGAGACATGAGGCAGGAGGCAAAAACGAAAGACTCTGGCTGCAACGTGGTTGATGCAAGTTGACGACAAGTGGATCGGGCCGAGACAGCATGCCATTGATTTTCAGGCTTGCTTTTGGCAAGCGAAACTTGGCAGGAGGACAATCCGCACACCGCAGTGGCCGACTTCGTAGTTCCGATTGTTGCCCGTAAGTTGCATCTCAGTTAGGTTCATCAACGCTCACGCTCGCATCCGCAGTTTCCTAAGCGACTTCCTCTGATGTTCAAAGCAGTCCGCCCTCCCCTGCCCCTTTCGCAATACCCAAAAGGCGGTGAAAAAAAAACAGTGGTACGCTTTTTTCTCGCTTCTACATCTTGCAGACCAGAGACCCCGCATTCCTTTGCAGCTCCCTTGCAGCGCCTGCAATCCTACTGCTGCTCCTGCCTCCTAAATTTCCTGCAATCTTGAGAGAATCTCGCGAAGGAGGGCAGAGAGAACGCGAGAGGGAGAGGGAAGAGAGCACACAGATTCAGGTGCCCAGTCCTTCAAGCGAGCCCTGAAGCGTACGCCCTGCGAGCCGCAGTTGAAACCAATAGCATGGATTTCTGGCTAAATTCCTTGTGAAAATGCCATCCAATTTTGGGACGAGCCTGGGAGGGGGGGGGGGGGGGGGGCCTTTACTTATTTGAGGAAGTCACTGCATCCGCGGCAAGACCGCTGCAAGCTGAACATGCTTCACCCTTTTCTTTTCTTCCCTCTGAAGCTGGCGTGAAACTTAGATGGACTCTTAAGTTGCCATTTACAGCAGCATGGCTGCAGTGGTGTGCTCGCCTCTAACCGAGTGTAGCCGTTGCAGCCATCTGAAATTTCTGAAAACAAGGCGGCCACCATTGGTTTTTTTGGCAAACTGGAGGCATCAGGTCCATTGCAACCCGGAAGCATCATGATTCCAGAATTCGGAGCGCCACCGCGACATGCTAATCAGGGTGAACGACGACAACTTCGACGCCAGGCCGGCGGGTGCTCAATGCACATTTCTGACTCTCGGAGCCGATGCCTTGTATGATTGCCTCTTATGTTTTTTGCATCCTGTTCTGATTCCTCCGAAGTCCATGGGGCGAATTTGTTCACGTTCATCTCAACCCAAAGCATTGAAAAAACCATGTGCGCTATTAGTTTAAGGTCAAGGGGCGGGGTGTAGAACAACTCTCATAAACCTCGCCGCAAAGGTGCGACAAAAATCAGATTAAGTGCATTAGGCCATCTGTGAACCGATGATCTGCAAGAAGTCATGCGTCGCTGATTTCACCCTGCCGCCTACCTCGTAGCAGAAATTCTGCAAGGCAACATCATCCTCCAGGGAAAAATCACTCCGACAACTGCGTGTAAACTTCTCGACCCATCCCTCGGCTCGGTCACAGTCATTGTGAAATGCTTGAAGCCCCAAGCTAGCGTTGGAGTCAGCCTTGAGATCAAGCTTGTCCCACTGCGACGGTATGTCAATTTTGTCCATGTCCTGCACGGCAAGCTGCAGGTGTAGAAGGATGTATGACTGCAAGTGTGAATACACCAGGACCACGCACTGAATCTCATGTACGAAAAGGCGTTGGGGGGACTGCTCGATCCAGCGAAGACTCGTGCACTGACTCGCACGCTTCTTCCCGAACCGCTTCAAACTTTACGAATCTGCACGACTCAAGCGCTGCAGCCTTGTAGTTCGGCAGCTGCAGTCCGCCAGTAATGGACTTGGCCTGTGAGCCAAAAACAGGCGCACGGTTATCTCCAATAAAGCACTGGGTCACTGGGGTTGTGGCCAGCTGAAGTGTGCCAGTGATCGCTGCCAATCTGAAGATGCAGGTTGTCAGCCTTGGCATACCCGCCGGCACCGTGTCAAGTCCGTTGTAAAACGAGAACCAACAGGACTCTTGTGAGGTGGCGGATATTAGGCTGAGATTGTCGGTGAACAATGCGGCAGTGAGTAGTGCCTTCAATGTAGAAGACTCGATATTTGCCGCAGTGCCTCGAAAGCTCCAGCTTCGACATCTTGCCATAGCACTCTTCACCTGTGACGATGCCACAGACAGCACCTTTGTGCATGAAACATGCCATCCAGAACAGCTCCGACAAATCCCGGCCTTCTATAAAGTCTGAAAGGGCTGGGCTGTTGTATATCCTCGTCTCACGGTGCGTGTTGAAAGTATGAAAGCCGTGGTCACGATGATTTGTGCATCACCTGGCCTCGAATCTATCTCGTTGATATAGCCGTTCAGTATTCCCAACCTCGCCTAGAAGATGGAGGTTCGGAAAACACCCATATGGCCCATGGAAGCGAGGAGACATTTAAGTCTTTCCCTTCGCTGTACTCTGCATGTCGTCACCTCGGGATCGGAGCTGAGCATCACACCATTGGCCACAAGTAGGCGAAACCAATCCTTGCTGTCTGGCTGTGATGCGGGAGGCAGCATTTCACCCATGTCTGTGGCTCAACATTCTTGGTAGAGAGACCGGTTCTGCACGATACGCATGCTCTGCGACTAAGGTTGGTTCGGAGTATCGCCCTGCATAAGCGGTACAAGCGCTCTCATCACTTCTGGGTCTTCCGGATCGAGGCCGATCATCACCTGAGTTTTTGAATAGGTCGGGTGTCATACTTCACATATGTTCACATGTCCATGGCGAGAAGCGTAGAAGAAATACCTGATGAAAAAGCCCCGCAGACCTGAGCAACACCGTTCACGGCATCTCGCCTCAAATAGCAAGCCGCAGCCGGGGCCTTTGTCTGAGGCTTTGTGGAACTCTTCACCAAGCCCATGCGGCATTCGCCTGTAGTCCTGGGGGGCCATGGGGCAGCACCTACTTGTCGCAGTCCGTAGCAGTCGTAGCACAGTACTCCATCTCTTCACTTACCCTCGCGAGTGGTCCTCGGCCAGCTGTGCCCACAGCCGTGCTGCCTTCTCGGACTTCATCCTTTCTGCAAATCCCTCACCTGAGTCTGAGCATAATACAGCGGGCGATCGACGGGCTGTGCTTGAAGATCAGGCCGCTGCTGAACATGTAGTGCTTGAAACATGCAACAAACCTCCGCTCCGGCAATCTGAAAAACGTCGACTTACGCGAGTGAACTGATGCAAAGATCTCGCACCTCTCGTGCAACGAGTTCACATCCTCAGTCCATCGCTGGCATCTGCTGTCTTGAGGCCAAGCTGTCGAAGCTTTGTCAAGAGTGGCATCGACTGTATCAGCTGCGACTCGGAGACCACTCTGAATCAGGTTCCACGTATGCACACAGCATAACCCACAACTTCGCGCACATCTGCAGCCAAGTTGCCAGATTTGGCATTTGCAAAAAGAAGATGTCACGATCCACTTTCGGCAAATTGGTCAAGGCCTGTCAAAGCTCTCCTCTTTCACGACGTCACTGGCACTTCCCTTACTTGTCCCTTTGTTCCCTTTCCGGCGGCTCCTCGTTCTGATCCCTCTGACAATAACATTGCTTCTAAAATGGCTCGCCGTGCTTTGCTTCATTGGCCTGTGCCCCCAGAAGGGCCGTTCGAGACTGTCCGCTCCTTAGCGTCGCCTCAACTACCTGCATCGAACGGCAAATTCACAAGCTTGCTTGTGAAATGCAAGGGAGCAGCAGGTCTACGTGCCTGGTAGTCGCCTATCGACACCATGCCAGCATAGCAATAGTTGTTTCCGAGGGCATCCCTGTCCAAGCATGGATGAAACATCTACGTCTTAGATTTCTGAATTTGCTTGCGCATCTGACGGGTTTGATGCACTTTCGACGAAGCTTCTCCTTCTTCGCGGCTTTACAAATCGGAGAAGACAGACGGATGGCTTGGCCTTTGCTTCGGCCTTTTGCTGTTGGTCTCGAATTCGGTTTGTCTTGGAGTTGGCAAAAATGGGCTGCTGAGTCCTACTCGGCACATGCCAGTCGCATTTGACAGCAGCATGCCACCTCGCCTCAGTCGATGGCAGTACGCGTTGTTGCAAAGCTCCATACCTCACACGCTATGTGCGTGCATGGGGAAGATGAAGACACAAGAGCGCCGACTGCACAGTCTGCATGTCCAACGTGCCTTGAGCACTGCCGATTGCAGGAAGAACCTGTGAAGGTTCGGTCGGGTGGACGAGAAATTCGTGAGCAAACTCTGAGGTCTGGGGATGGCACCATCTGGCTAAGCGGGCAGCCCTCAGATGTACATGTAGACGTTTGAACGGGCTGATCTTGAGCATATTGCGCGCAGTCGTACGCTCATCCACTGATTACATTGGGGAAATCTTACCTAGCTTCACCAGCTCATGCTGCATAGATAATTCACATGCATTCCTATCGATTTTCTACGGCTTGGCCAAGACATTGCAACCTCAGGAGAAAGGAGAGAGCTCTCTTGCACCCACCAACGTTAACGAGGAAAAATGCGCATGGACGCAAGCCACATGGCACCAGACTCGCTGTGGAAATGCTTCGTGTGTCGTGCTAAGCCGAAGCGCAAGGAGAAGTGTGAAAAATGTTAAAACCATCCAAACAGCGAAACAAAAAGCAACTAAAAAACAACTAACGTGAAACACGCTGAATATGTTCAAGATTGTAAAGGCACTAGTTTATGAACCCTAAACCCTGCAGACTAAAAACTGCGAGAACGTGCAAAACAAGAGGACTCCAGAAAGCAGAAGGGTAAGAACAATGATAACCATAGAAATCATCCGAATGAAAGCTGCAATCTTACGAAGAACACCAATAGTAGAATATCAAAAACAAAAATACAACTAGAATGAATAACAAAAACAATAGCAACAGTACTACTAATAGTAATGATACTAATAGCAGCAATAATCTTTAGCAATACGGATACGAATACTAATACTAGTACTGCACTGGCTTTAAACATGAGATGCTGGACACTAAACCCTAAGTTCCAAAATGGGTGACAAATCCACCGAGCAATCGTACGCAGTCGAAAGAAGCCTATCCGCGTTGACGCCAACACTCCTGAAGTGAAGCAAAACATCCCCAACAAAGCAAGGCATGGTTCATGCAAGGCTCCGGATGCTGCAGAAGGCTGACTTGCAAGCTTGATGACAAGGCATAGCAGCCCAGTTGTGGGGCCAGCAGGATCACGATCACAAAAAGGGCAACCTCAAGGACAAGGACATGCACGTGCCAAGGAGGCCGCGAGTTGGTACTGACATCAGTCTGCTTCCAAGTCTCAAAGATCGACATGGCAGCCACACCCATCGCGAGAGCCTTGATGAGCCAAGGAGGGTCTTGTCTGAAGCAACTCGCGGCCCGCGGCAACTTCAGAAGTCTCTTGCCGGCAGGGCGCTCGCCACGTCAAGCCCACTTCTAGAATGTATACCTGCTCCATTGTCGCGTAGAGCAAACTGCTCTTGGAACAGCTTTACGTACTTTTAAGACTGATCCCTAACATGGATTTCCGTCTTTCAAGAGAAAAGCACCTGCTTGCAGACGAGGTGCCAAAATCGCTACAATCGGCGTCAGCCAAAAAGCTGTGTGCACTGACAAAACTGCACTAGGCAAGTCCTTGGTGAAATCTTCACCAGACAAGAAAGGATAGCAGCAAACAGTGCCGATATGGAAGAGTCTAAGCTGGCATCTCCTCTTGCAGGTGGAAGCTGGGCGACCTGGCTTCCCCGCAACTTCACGAAATCTCCAGTGCACTTGCACTTCAAGAATGCAGCGGGACACGGCCTGAAGCAGTGGCTCTGACTCGACATCCGGCGAGCAACAGCCTCCCGAGCTCTCGAGACTAGGACTCATCCGCCGGGCATCGTCAGCCGAGTTCTGTCCCTCGAAGTTGTCTGGATTAAATGGCAGGAGCGTCACCTTTAAACATCGCTGCACCGTCCGCGCGAGAACCTGAGCGCCACACAATGCCATGCACCACTGCTACATCACCGAAAGGCGTGCAGTCGCTTCCTCAGGCTGACGCGGCCCGCGCGGCCAGGGGTGCACCGGGAAAATGCGCGCAAAACTCAATCTGTGAGACTTTACAGCCGCAGCACGAGAACGGGTCGGGGGTCATGGAACCAAGCTGAAATGCTGAGCAACATCGCAGCCACATGAAGGACCGAGATTGTCGAGACCTCTTTTCGACGGCTGCTGCTGTGACATGTCCAAGTGCCTGGCAAGTTGTGGCAAGTCTACAGGCCCCGACATCTTTGCGATAGATACCCGCGGCCGGAGCTGCCAAGAGACTCAAGAAGGTTCGACACGAGGTGCGCCAGGGCAGCCCAAAGTGCGTTATCATTTCACGTACAGTCTCAACCCCGACGCATTGAAGCTTTGCGAGCCCTGCAACAGCAAAGCACAGGTCAGAAGCATCCAGTGTGGGTGGCGATTTCAACATGACCAGTACCTTACGACATCTTACGACCCGAATTAGCTGGACATGCTGTAACATGCTTACTTCTGAGCCACACGATGCCCAAGTTTCGACACAAGCTCAAGCCAGGGAAACACCAGAGCAAAGCTGCATAGCATTCCACACGACTCCAGAAGAACGTTCGGGAGCTGGAGGATAAGCTGTGAACCGGAAATTTAATTTCCAAGAAGCAGCGAATTGTCGACGATGCTTTAATCTTCCTGTTGAGCCGGCCTGTATAGGCCCTCCAAACAACTGTGCGCATATGAACAATGCGTAGGGCAATGCGTATCGCAGTGGTCGTCGGTAGGAGCGAACGGCTTTGGTTCTAGCCAGGGCCAGGCTGGGGCGCTTCGGACCAGTGGCAGTGCCTCTCATAATCGCGCTTCAGTGCTAGTATGTGCTAGTAGTGACTAGTACTATATTCAGTATTCACTATTCTAAATCATGGAAGGTTGTCCTCGTTCCGGCCAGCAGCTCCAAAGACGAAACTTTACAAGAAGGTCGGTGGGCGTCGCGCATCGCACATAAAGGTCCAAAAGAATGTGAAGTTGTTAACACCTGGCGGCATGGCGGAGGTGGCGGCCAGTAGGCGAGGTGGTCGCGCTCGTTGGCCTCATCGATCTCCTCCAACCATCCTGCTCTGGCACCTGACACCGTGCACAACCGCTACTGTGTCAGCGCACGGAGAGCATGGACAGAGGCATGCCGCTGCCAATTGTCTTCGGCTCCCGTCGTTTCTGTTCTCTCTGCTTGGGCTTTGGGTTGAAGCGGCTTCGTCACCTGCAGTCGGTGTCCGCGCCTGCAAAGCTGTCGCAATAGGGGACGTACGGCTTGATGTCAAGGACCGGTGTGCCGTCGAGCAAATCCAGACCGTGGACGGAAACTGGGCTGGAGGAGGGGCTAGCTGAAGTGCACAGTTCCTCACCCTGCATACACAAGCCCAACGTTACAGGCCTTTCAGATTGGCTTCGTCCACGTCCATCAATCCTTTTCCGGACTTCACGATACTTCACGAGTCCACGAGGCTATCAACAACACACACGGCTGGTCTGAGCGTCGAGCGACATGCCGAAAGACCAACGTGGTTCCTTGGCTTCACATTCTGAAACATTCTAATGGAACAACACAGAAAAAGTGACGTTACCCGCCTCGACACAACCCACAAGAACGCATGTACATCTCGCGTGTCAAAGAATGGCACTGAGTGGTGGCATTGAGTGGTGGCATTGAGTGGTGGCATTGAGTGGTGGCATTGGGTGGTGGTGGTGGTGGTGGGTGGTGGTGGTTGGTGGTGGTGGTGGTTGGTGGTGGTGGTGGTGGTTGGTGGTGGTGGTTTTTGGTGGTGGTGGTGGTGGTGGTGGTGGTGGTGGTGGTGGTGGTGGTGGTGGTGGTGGTGGTGGTGGTGGTGGTGGTGGTGGTGGTGGTGGTGGTGGTGGTGGTGGTGGTGGTGGTGGTGGTGGTGGTGGTGGTGGTGGTGGTGGTGGTGGTGGTGGGTGGTGGTGGTGGTGGTGGTGGTGGTGGTGGTGGTGGTGGTGGTGGTGGTGGTGGTGGTGGTGGTGGTGGTGGTGGTGGTGGTGGGGGTGGTGGCGGTGGTGGTGGTGGTAGTGGTGGTGGTGGTGGTGGTGGTGGTGGTGGTGGTGGTGGTGGTGGTGGTGGTGGTGGTGGTGGTGGTGGTGGTGGTGGTGGTGGTGGTGGTCCGTCATCACACATCAGCTGGTAAGCTCACTTCTTCAGTCGCCGTAAGCTGATCCTGATCACGTGGAATCTTCATTATTGCTGGGCGGTGCGGGACATTGCTGGGGCCATCTGTCAAGTTTTTTTGATGTTGTATGCAAGAAGAATGCGACAAGAGCTAAGGTTGAGTGGCATGCGCGGCACTGAAATGGAACAGATGTTTGAAGAAATTTAGTGCCCGGAGCAAGGTCCGAATAATTCCAAAGATGTACCCATCGCATCGAGACAGCCATGGACCCAGTGGTAGGGGTGGGGGCGACGATGGTGATGGCTGCGTTGCTGCTGCTACCTTGTTGCTTTTGGTGAATATTGGCCTACCAAGTCGAAACCCCTAGTCGGTAGTTTAGGAGTCGAGCCAAGGTCAACATGGGCGCCACCAGAGTGGCGTAGTAATCAGGTCAGCTCACTGATCAGAGAACGTACAGCTGCACAACCAATGCCCGCTCCATCTAGAAAAACGGAATGCTGGAAATTGAATGGCCGTGTCTCGGTCGATGTGGAGCTCGCGTCGCAAAAAGGCCGCGTTTTCGGCGCGGCCCTGAGCAGAATGATTCTGAAGCTCTCAGTAGCAGTGCAGGCAGTTCTGTCGGTTTCCTCTCCTACGGATGGCGCAGAAGCGTTAAGCTGCACGGCGTGCCGAGATCCGTCTGGCGGTGACACACTTCCTGCCATGCTTCCTTTGTGGGGGGTTGGAGTACCTCTAAAACCCCCGCGAAGATGTGCGACCCTCAGGTCCAACGATTTTGCGTCTTCCCTGCAATTGCTAATGTTCTTCTTCATCATCTTGTCATTCTTCGTCCTCATAGTATTCTTGTTGTTTTCTGAACTCGTGTTCCTGTGTTATTCTTGGCTTTGGGCTTGACACGCCCCCCTCCCGAGCGAGCAGCGCTGCTCCTCCCGCCAGCACACGCATGGCCTTTTTAGCACGCATTTTGAGTTTGTCACTTGTAATCATAAACGTGTGATTTGGAGTCGTCCGCTGCCCCCGTCTTGGACTCAGGTCACTCTCCTCGCAAAGGACCAGTCTATCCCGAAGACTTGGCCTCTGGGCGGTGTGACGCTTGCTGACCAACCTAGCATCGATGGAAGTCGACTTTGGAGGGAAAGCCAAAATCGCCATCGCCTTCGTTCATGTGCAAATAGCTGATAACCTGGCGCCGAGCATGTGCAGTAGAGCATCTCACTGCAGTGTCTCATAGCTTCTGCGGCGGACCCAGATGAACTCGAAGCCGGAAAGCTCGCGCAGCGCCATTCGAAGCTTCTCCTTACTTCAACATAGTCTCTCAGAGATGCAACTTTGCAAAAGCTGCAGAAAAGCTCTCCTCCGGATTATGCTCGCTGGGAACAAGCTCAAGAAAGCCAGCACCAGCTTCTCCACCTACAACCTCAAGCTCCGATATGAGAGCTAGCGCAGATGACTACTGTGGGCCCGCACTCCTTGTGTGACCGTCGGCTGTCGTGGACATCCAAAGCGCTCCTCAATCACCGGTGAAGACCGCTTTTTGACGTGAGCCTGATTGCACGCGAACCTTGTACGGAGAGCGCACGACTGCGACAGTTTGCATGGAGACCTAAACGTCTCTGCAGTACCGAGCTGAGTCTGGGAACAGCATCGGAACACAGCTGATACCTCCATAGGCGTGGGGAATGCATCTGTGTGGACCTGAGTCAAGCACCCAACGACAAGGAGGTCCGTATTTATCGCTGTACCTGCCTGGGGAGGTCTAGAAGCACGCTTCGGCGCAGGAGTCTCCCCTGATCGCTGGCACAGGATCTTTTCTGCACGTCAGGCTGTCACAGCACTTCACTTTGACAATCTGTCATCCTAGCAGCTCTAGGCAGTTGAACCTGAATCAAAGCGGTTTTGCCACACTTCAGCATCACTCGCAATGGGCCTCTTCTGCTTGTAAAGCATCGGACCAAACCTCGGTCGAAAACGTCTGACGGAGAGCTTTTGCAGTTACGTTCACGCTCAATGGTGGCTGTGACCACCCGAGCGCACAAAGGAACCCTCGTCATCTCTCCTTACTTACTGGGAGCTGCCTCGCCTTGCTTTCAAGTGCAGACTGACTTTTTTTTCCCAGGCCGAGATCTGACAAGAGGTCAAGCCAGCGCTGGCTCTGCCTCCGATGTGCCCATGGCTAGAAACTAATCTTCTGGCTCGGTGAACTGAATACCACCAATTCCTTAGACTGAGACGGATCAGAGTACACACAGCTTCGCCAGAATGGAACGCATCTCGCCGCAAGGTCAAACGAAAAACTGACTGGATGCCCAGTCCTCATGCCATGAGTCGTGTGTTGACTATGCCTTTCTGGGATTTCTGCTTCTCGCCTGCGATCTTTGTCCATTTCTTGCCATCTTGAAAGACGATGGCACTTCCGTCCCACTTGCCGACCTTGGACGCGGTTGGTGATGCTTGCACATGTACGACTGTACCGTCTTGTTTTTTGTTGCCTTGGCAGCTGTCACAGAACGTCAATGAGGCCACGTACACCCATCCATCGCACAGCATCTCTTAGGACCCAGCCACCTTGCTGGGCCCACCCCTCGGAGAGAAGTCGACGGTGATTTGGTCACCCTGAACTTTGCCTGTGTTGACTGTTAGGACGTCAGGAAAAGGCGGCCTGCAACCAAGTGGTCGTTCAGCGGGCGCCTGGAAGCAGGAATTTGTCCAGGTTCTTGTTCTGCTTGCACGTTCTGCCCTTCTCAGGATCCTGCATGCGGATTGGAAATGAACCGGATTTGTACCCTGCACAGGGGTTGTCCTACCGTGTTCCGGGATGGAAGCATGCAGCCACAACCTAAACGACAAGCATGCTAAGAAGGGTTTGTGCTCTCTGCAGTTGTCCTTGAGGTTGAATTGGATGTTGCCCGAGCCCAGATCCAGGAGTCTCCTTTTGCAACCGGGATACTCAGGATCCTGAGCATGAGCAGCCACGAGACGAGAGTCACCCGCCAACTGGCCATGTTGCTGCTCTTGCTGACAAGTGTCGTCGTAAGCCCCGGCCCATGCAACTTCTGCGCTGGCCGGTTGTGGATGTCCTGAAATGTGGGCAGAGCTGCAAGAACCGGCTGAACCTCAAAACCGCTTCCGCTTCTGTTCTCGTGCAGCGCCCTGATCGTCAAAAACGGAATCTAGGACCCCCTGATGGGTACTGCAAATGCCGCCACACTCGGACAAAGCTTTGCGAAGCTTGCAAGACTCCGCAGCCAAGTGTCCCAAATAAAGCGGCGCCGTCGCAAGGCCTAGAGCAAACTGCCGCCGGCCGACACCTTCTGGCAACTTCGCTGCAAGAGCGACTCTGCGAGTTGGACTCATGCCAAACGCGACAAGCCTGCGCCCAATGCCTGCAGAAATGTCGTAGCTCCCAGCACCCTGGGCTTTGGGTGCATCGCGCACATGGCTTTGTCGCAAAAACCTTCCTCATGCCAGCCTAACAGCAGCTAAGGGGCGTGGAAAGCACTGCAAGAAGTGCAACGAATCCACGAAGTACACGTCCTGCAAGCAGACTACGACACCCAGTGCTCGAACACGACTACCGAAACTCCGGATTCTCCTTGTGGCCTCTCGGCCCGTTTGCCAGTTTGCAGCACCATGGCTGGAAAATCTCGAGCCCAGATAAATGGCTGAGGAAAGCTGAGCTGGCAGATCCAAGGAGCATCAAAGGGCACAAAAGCCGTCAGCTTCTGATCAATGGCAACCTGCAAGCACCACTCCAATCTCACTTTTCTGCGCATCTGATCCACGTTGACCAGGGAGCTCTTTCTGGATCTTCTTCGCCCCGAGGGCATGCTTCTTTTTGCCAGTAGGCTCAGGAAGCTCGTGCGCAAAGAGAGTGTCGTGATGACATTGGCGACCTAAGGCGTCCATGAGGAGACTCAGCGCCTTGTGCAAAGCTGGTGGCAAGCCGTCTGTCGGCTGCCCAGGAGTTTCCAGATTTTCTAGCAGAAGTGCAGCGGCCTCTATTGTTGAAATTCGCCCCTCCTGAGACTGCCGCCTCCAATGGAAATTGGACTTGGCACTTGGCAGAAGCTTCACGTGGTTTACCGACTGGAAACGTTTGTGCATTCTCTGCGCTTGGTTCCAAGTGCCATCGATGAGGATGGCAACTGGCGGCGGCTCTGCCTCCAATGCTGAGCATGCTGCAGCTGCTGGAGATGGAAGGCTCACTGCCTCACTCACGAGCTTAGCATCCTCCGACGGGTAGACCACGAAGGCATCACGCTCCAGTAACTCTGCCAAGCGAGCCTCATCCCTTGCAACGCCTTGTATCAATATGTCAGTAGACTCGGGAAGCAGCAAATGAAGAATCTTGCCTGTGTTTGAGGCTCGCCGGCGTTCTTTATGGTGAATCCAAACAACAAAATGCAGGCGTGAACGCGTGCCGTGGTTCAGCATGTCTTGCCTGATGGCTTGCATAGCTGTGCAAATGCAGAACTCCAACTGCATCATGCAGTTTGA